TGGCAGCCAGATGTGTGCAACAGCAGTACGGCACGTGTGTGAGGGTGTGGGTCGCTGGTTCACGACACCGTTCCTCTGATGCTTTCACTTTTGTTCTCCATGTACTACTTTCCAAGATGTTCCTACGACGACTTACAACAAGCTGAGAGATCTATGCTCGGGGTTGTCTTCTCAAAACACGCCATCTCCCTAGAAGCGCGACTTGGGGGTGTTTGCGAGGTCTGTGTGGATCTGCATTGAAAAAGGCAGGTATGTGTGTCTGGAGGTTAGAATGCATGTTATCTGGGGTCGGAGCTACTGGAACGGACAAACATTGAGCTTCAGAATGTTGTATGCCTGCTAGGCCCGCAACGCTCTGGAAACTGCTGACAACAAACCGCGAGGAAACCGGTCAGCCAAGCGCCGGAAGGAACCAGAATTGGAATGTTCTTTTCTGGCCCATGGGGAGGTGGAATGAAGTTTGCCGGACTCGAAATCCACCTGTTGGCTTTATCGCCGCGGACTGTTTCGGGCCGGCTGCTCGGAGTCTCCAGGAATCGGGGTCTGTTATGGTTTGCTTCAAAAGGGGGCTCGGTGTTTGTGCACTTGGACCTGGAAAGACGTACTTGGACTGGTGTCTGGTAACTTAACCGACAAGAGTGCATTCACCCAAACCGGCAAATCTTCCGACTGAAACTTTGGACCCTCACGTCAAGGTTGGTTCTCCTCTGGAATGCACGCTTGCAGTCTTTACCCGAGGTTGCATCTGCTGGGACGACTGGCTAAAAGACGTCAACTCTTGCAAACCATGGACGTGTTCATGCTGCCATAGATTGTTTGCAGTGTTCATGGAGGATCTAAGCTTCAAGGCCGATGAAATTACGAAGCATTCCCGAGGCTTCGCAAACCACCCACTCCAATGTAACATGTGCTGGGAAGATGTGTCTGTGCTATGCTTACATTTGCCTACTATTCACTATTCAAGACCCTACCATAACGGTTGTATTCCATCGCACTGTGGTTGCTGATGCTTTAATGCTTTAATGTTTGTCATACCGCGGTGTTCATGTATGGCCTGTATAGCGTATGCAGTCTACAATCTACCAGATGCTGCTGTTTATGTCTATGATTGTCTATGCATCAGAATCATATCCTTCATCGTTTGCGCACCTCTTCCAGGCTTGCCGCTTCGGTTTTTGTCGACTTTGGGGAGTCGTTCACATGCCGGGACAAGGCGGGCCGATGGGTTCATGCCACTGCTCTAGCAGCTCGTTCTGGTGATGACGATAATGGCAAGCATGGTGATGATAGTGATCACACACCATCTTGCGAGGATCGTGGTAATGGTCAAGACAACACTGTTCATGCTTGTGATGACGATGCTGCGAAGGGGAGTTTCTAAAGAGGCTGGAACGGAACCCTGCAGAGATGGGTCCCTTTTAAGCTCCCTCCGAGGGTCTTCTTTAAGGTCCCTTCTAGGGGTTCATTTGCAGGTCACTTTTTAGCTCCCTTCATGCCCTTCTAGGGTACCTTGTCAGGTTTACTGCAGGGGTGCCTTGGCGGTCCCTTTCAGAATCCTTCTCGGTGTTTGTTTAAAGTTCTTTTAGGGTCGCTCTGAGGGTTCCTATTAGGTCCCATTGTAGGGTGCCTTGAATGGTGGATTCTCTTAGGAGCTAGTTGAGTCTAGGGTCGCTGTATGGGTCCCTTTTTAAGGTCTCGGGTTCATAACACTATAAGACTGTATGTATACTAATACTAGCGCCCAGTTAGGGTCCCCTCGAGGGGTCTCCGTCTCATGTTGGTGGTGCCCCCTTTGCTTTTCATTCTAGGGCCGTTTCTGGGTCCTTGTCGGAGATTGCGATTCCGGTTAACGCCCTGCTAGCCCGGAAAGCTGCGTTCACAGTTCTGAAAGTAAGCCTCCAAAGGATGTACTGAAATACTCTTGGGAGGGGCCCCACCATGAACGCCAAACTCCGAATAAGATGTGTGGCGCCCCTTGAAGGTGTCTTCTTGGGTTCATGCTGGGATCCCTAGTAGTGTCCCTTTGGATGACGGCAGTCAGGCAATGAATGATAAAGCATATTCAATGCTGTTTGTTAAGACCGGTCGCGATGGCGATGACAAAGACAGCGTCGACAAGTTTGAAGGTGGCGGTTCTGATGTTGCCTCTGTCGGTGGTTATTGATTGCAGTGGAAGTATTTGTTTTGTCTATTGCTACCTCGCTTATGTTGATTCGTGCAGGACGGCGAGGAGCCACGAAGCGCCATAGTCTCCGGTGTCACGCTCGAGAGCCCCGGCACGGTGCCTCGTCGTTCACTTCGCATGGTCTCATGGTCTGTGGGTCTCAGGACAGGCTAGTGCAAACTCGAAGCCTCGAGCCCCACACTCCCAGACCGGAGACTCAGAGCCGTTTAGCCGTGGCTTCGAAGTTCCACGTTTACAGCCCCAGCACGCCTCCTTTCAAGCCTTCCAGGTGCACACACACCAGGACCGTCGTCATGGCTTCAACGATGGCGACTGGGTTGTTTTCCGGGAGGCGTTCCCAGATGTGCGGCTCACGTTTTTGTTGGGGCTTGGTCGCCACTCGCCACAGGGGGTTTGAGCTTTTCGGGCTTCTCTCAAAGCGGCTTGGCCAGGTCCAAGGCATGACGCAGCTCAACGATGGCAAGCCCAGGCAGATCAAGGTCACAGGAACGCCATCAGGGCTGAAGTGGGTTAAGGTGCCGTTCTTTGGTTTCAGGACAAGGGGCCATACGGGGCTTGTGGGGCTGGTGGAGATCTGCACTTGGATTTGTCGAGTTCGGGGTTCGCGCGTTTGCGCTGCATGAAGTCTACAGCCAAGGAAGTTTTTGCTTTCTAGCGATCCATGTAAGTCGTTGCAATCCACAGGATGCCTGCGATATTCCGAATTCCTGCACACCTTCATGCTGAATGGCATCTCCGCAAAACCTGAGCTTTCAGCTGTATTTGGACTGTTTGACGGGAGTTTAAGAGGAGTATCCCAACGCCAGCAACCTGCAAAGCTGGAGCCCTTGCACGGAGCATCGAGAGGCACCCTACACCCGAACCACCGAGATCCAGGCCCTCAGCCTCCCTTCAATCTCCTGCAGGACCCTACTCGTTCTCGATAGAGGACACGACAGGGTACAGCGCAGGAACCTCGAACAATCCAGAGGTGAGGGTGGGGATTCGGAGCTGTAGCAGAAGCTAGCATTTGTGGTCGGCTTCGTCGTTAGATGCCGAGGCTACAGGGCTAAAGACGCCGGCTCCGGCTCCGGCTCTGCATCTCTTCCATCAGGTCTTCATCGGAGGTTTCTAGGCCTGGCAGGGCCTGGCAAGGCTGGGAATCAAGACAAAAGAGGGAACACAAAGCAACATGTCGGTTTCCAGGGTCCACGATTTTCGTCCTCCGCATGAATCTTTCGAGTTTGAGGCCTACGTCTCCGACGGTATCGTCACACAAACAAAGGCTGCGGGCGTCGTAGTGTCAGGGAAGGGCAGTACGACCTTGCACTTGTCCAGCAACTTGGTGTTGTGGACTGAGGACTGTATTAGGATGACTGCAAGTGCTGAGGGCACTCTTTGTGAAGATTAGCCTTTCATGGAAAGGTTCCTCACAGCATCAATTTCTCCTCCTACAAGCAGTCGCTGGCTTGGCCCTTGGCTGGAGAATCATCGGCACACCGGGTACACCAAACAAACCCACTGGCAAGACAGAACAGTTGGTGCCGGCAACTCCCACGAAATGCTGGCAAGGTCTGAGCGAGTGCTTATTCACGTGGCGCATACTCGGCCCAGCTTGCTATGGGGCTGCTGATGGGCACGTAGTTCAACGGTTGACCGACCGTGATACTGAAAGTCCAGGTGCAACCGAAGCATTCAGGCGAAGAGATGCATGCCGAGACCTCAGGGTGCATGTCACAACAGCTGAAAGTTGCTGGTTAGCTCCTTGTGTCCTGAGTTTAGACGGCCGCAGCCGGACGTGAAGACCTCAAGCCCACTCATCCCGCGTTTGGCAGGGGGTGTTGGGGTTTTGTGTTTGTCAACGTATTCATCTTCAGCATTAGGGGCCGCCGCCCGACAAGACTGAATCCTGCACCCGCTCGTGCACTTAGCAACGTAGCACTGTCAACATTGTTTCCAGAGCTGCTTAACCTAGGCAGCTGACCTCTCGGCCTCCACTCCTCCATGCTCAAGCCATGAAGGCTGTGTCTTCAGCTTGACACCCTGAATGAACCCCGGAAAGACTTCGCCGTGAAGCTCTTGGCTCAAACAGAACCTTCGGCTTGCGGTTGCTCTGAAGATGACGAAGGCGCCGAGCTTAGGTGACGAATATAGGGTGGTGAGTTGAAGATCAGTTTCAGTACGAAGGCTGTGCAGGGTGTGCGGGTTTGTGTGCGCAGGCGAGCCGACGTAACGGCAGGCTAGCTGCTAGCTCTCAGGCGCCATTCTCTCCAGACCCTCAACACGACTTCAAGCGGCAGGTCCACAAGTCTAGCTCAGACAAGCTTGGAGGTGTCATAGAAGCCATAATTAGTCTAGCTGGCTGGAAGTTGACAGGATCCAGGTCTGGCCTGTGTCTACATGATTTACGCATGAACATTCGCTATGAGATATCGGATCGAAAGGCTGCGCCTGCTGCTTCACTTTCGATCCTAGCGACAGAGGCCATTCCGTGTTTGGTTGATTGGTCGGTTGGCTGGTTAGGGTCGGCAGTTGGGTGTGATTGTGCCGCTGTCCGTGTCTCTGTTTGTGTCTCTGTCTGTGGTGTGTGTGTGTGTGTGTGTGTCTGTCTGTCTGTCCGTGTCTGTCCGTGTCTGTCCGTGTCTGTCTGTGTCTGTCTCTGTGTGTGTGTGTGTGTGTCTGTCTCTGTGGACGGGTTTCGGTTTCCGCTTGGGACTCTTGGGGCTTTCAGATTTCAGGTGCTGGAAATTTGGGCTTACCAGCTCTGGATTGGAGAAGTGTTGGGAGCACGCGGACTTCGCCTGTCTTGCCAGCCCGAAGACGGGATTGTAACGTGATGGCGGAAGCGAAGTGCTGGAAAGATGTGGTGTCCTTGGTTTTTCCTACTTTCTCCAGCTGACTGCTGTCCTCATTCCTGCTTAAACGAGGTATGCCGTCACGGCCGGCAGGCACCTAGGACACAGTTGCGGCCAAGAGTCACGATGCCTTGAGCCTGGTGTGTGTCGATACACCAAGCCTGTCAGGCTGCTTGGAAGATCAAGAAGCGGCTTCTCCCCATCTTTGTTCTCGCGACTCGTTTTTGATTCAGTTGGCACATCGCTTGAAGAGATGTTGCTTCGTCTGTAGGTTCAGGAAGATGGAAAACACAGGTGCAGAACGGGACAGCCGGGCCAGAGAACTCGCAAAAACACGGTGGATCAAGGTCAAATCCAGATGGGCGCTGGTGTTTTCGTCACGCGTGCTGGATTTCCTGACGAGGTGACAGTGGCCAACTACTTGGACCGCGGAAACATCAGCTATGCTGCTGAAGGGCTGAAGCAGAGGCCTGGTGCAGGGTCCCAGGGACGGGATGCGAAACGGAAATCCCCAAAGTTTCTTCCCGGTGTCTGTAAAAGCTATTCTGCACCTCTGCGTTTGTTCTATGCAGTACGCTTCGTTTTCTTGCGAGGGTCTGACCCAGCTCGCAGACACTGGAAGTCCTGCCCTTTGGACCTTGCTGACCTTGGCATTTTAAGCGTTGCACTTGAAATCCTCACCCTGGGTGAAGAAGTGGCTGGCAGGCTCGGACTGCATGATGTCGGCTATGGGGCAGCCAGCAGTGCACTTTTCTACACCTATGCCCCACGGCATCATTCGATTTGCGAATGACTTCATTTACTCAGTGCGGAAAGCAATGAGCACATGATGGACGGGCACTGAAAGCCAGGCTGGTCAGAAACAAGGGGTGGTGGCAAACCGAGGTTTGTTTCCAGTGGCCTCATGCGTGGATCGCCAAACGGCTCGGCGTTCGCTTGTGGCTGGCTGCAGTGGTGCCGTGCCAGACAAGACATCGGCTTTCTTCTGTTCTCATCCAGTACTCTTTCTTGTGTTTTCACCTCCTGGCTCTGTTGACCAACTACATGCATGCCTGCAGATCGCACTTTGGGGCTGCGCGACTCTGCTCACCGCATGGGTGGACTCTGCCACCGAGCACCTTCGGCTGTTACGACTCCACGGCTCTGAGAGTTAAAGCTTTTGGCCTTTATGTTTAGAGAAGCTCAGAGTAAGGGTCTGGGTGTGAGAAGCGGAGTTGAGCTTGTAGGACCCGCCTCAGAGAGGAATCGTGAGCTTCTGCAGCTGAACTTTGTGGTCTGGGGCTCGAGCCTCTGCACGGTGCCAGCGAACCTGTGTTAACAGTTGTATCAGCCCGGTTTGCATCGGCGAAAAACGAGTTCTCTGGCCAGCGATGGCCAGTGTTCACCACCACCACCGCCACCGCCACCGCCACCGCCACCACCACCACCACCACCACCACCACCACCACAACAACAACAACAACAACGACGACAACGCTCCGACATAACGTAAACGCGCGCCGCAGGCATGCCGATTGTATCGTGTTTTACAGTGTTTCAGACACTTCATCGGCTGAAACCTCGGTGGTGTCAGCATTTTCTGGGCTTCAAGTTTCACAGAATCGCAAGGACACATTTTACGGGCTTGTAGAACCAGGACGGATCTTGAATCTGTAGGCTTATTCTTGAAAAAATGCTGCAAATTACAGCGCATCGTGGCAAACGGGGTTTTGTGTGCGGTTGGTTTTCGTGGTTTCTAGACACGTTTGCAGGTATATTTTGCCGGAATGCGGACTTCGAGTGCTTGGGGCAACTTGCTTTGAAGGCTTGAAGCATTCTAGAGTTTCTAGCTGAAAACTTAGGGTTTAAGAGGCTTAAACCGAAAGCCTGAAAAGCACCGCTGTTTATTCTTCAACCTAACAGCCAGTCACGGTCTTCACGGTATCCCCCCACCCCCCCCGACCCCGTTGTTGTTGTTGTTGCTACTGCTGCTGCTTTTATTGGTGTTGTAAGAGGCGGGAGGAGGAGGACAAAGACCGCCTCATAACGCTCAAAGAACCGAAAAGGCTGGTCCTCTGTCGCCTGCTGATCGGATTTGCCGAGGCAGCAGATCAGACGGGGGGGATTCTTGCTGTGGGGCTTTGTAGCGTCGCACACGAGTTTCGCAGTATCGTCTTCGAAAGACGCTAAAGCTTCAGGTCTGGAGCAAAGCTGGCAGCTGCCTCAAGGAAGGAACCAAAAAATGGCTGCACGTAATGGCCTCCAAGCTTGGCGAACTGTACCAAAGCCCTTTGTCCAAATCTCGTCCCCGAAGCTGCGCAGACGTACACCGTAAAGCCACCAGGGTATGACACTGCCACAGCTGAATTACCTACCCGTGTATAGTGTGCTCAGGCGGGCTCCTTCCCGCTCATCTACATGCACTTGGACAGCTACCTACCGGCCGAGGACATGGCAGCCTCGGGAAGACCGTAAAGCTTGTAGAGTCTTGTAGAGTATTTCGCTGTCGTCGCTGTCGGAGCACCACCCGGTCCCGTCCACGTAGGGCCAATTGTCCCATGCTCCTAACTACCACACCTGGACACGAAAGCAGCTGCTCTTGGAACATGAGGAGGTGTCCCGAAGCTGGTCCATCATCGTCGCCGCCTCCCAGGTGTCTTCTTGGGGCGTTTATGTGTCTTAAGGCATTCTGCAGGGCCCATTGTTTACATGCTCAAAGAGTCCAGGTCCTCTAAAGGTCTGTTCAACCCAGGACACCAAGAGTACTTGGCCATGCATCCAATTTATTTGGGAGTGTACGCTTCATGCATCAAAGAACCTCTCCTCTCAATCGTGCCTCCAAGACAATAGAAGTACGGAGCAGGAAAAGATTGTGCAAGACCGGTCTGCATAGCAGACCCATTCTGAGCCAGCGTCCCCAGACTCGGAGTGTCACCAGCTGGTCACCAGGTTGCCAGCATCGTTTCTGGGCCTCTTGCTGCAGGACTGGGAGACAGGAACAGACCACCGAGCGGGCCTAGCAAAGCCACGGCACTCTCTAGGCAGCCATGCTTCTGGTTCACTGAAGAACGGCCCGGCCCTTCGCGGAGTTGGGCAAAGTAGCCCGAAACCTGAACCCGCAGAAACCTCCCCTCAACCCGAAAGGACTGATCCAGTTGCCTGTGAATCAGATGGTCAGCCAGCATTGGGAGTGGCTTTTCGTGATGGAGACCTGTCCTACCATGAGCCCACTCCGCTATGCGCTTTTGTGCGCTGTATCCTTGGCTTGTCATGAAATATGATGTCCCATTCTAATGCTGCAGCCCTTCAGCTCTCACATCCATGCCCTTGCATGCTGCTACCAGTATGTTTCAGTTGGCTTAGGGGGTCTGGTTTTGCAGGAGCCCGGGGTCTTCGATGCACTTGTGCTCAAGCTTCTGGGCTTCTTCCGGGCATGGATGCATGCAATACTCGGGGCGGGCACATCGGGTTTGTTCAGTGGCATGACAGAGTCAAGCCAATAAGGGCTTGCCCTTAATTATGACTTGGGCGAAGAGTGTGTAAAGAGCCACCTAACCTAAGCCGACAGCCAATTCACCACGTCGAGGAAGGGTTCTTTGCGGTGGTCGTCGCGGCGGTTGTATACTGCTGCCTCCTTGATGACGACGGCAATGGAGACATGCTACACCTAACCACAGAGGAGAAGCTAGCCCCTGACTCTGCATGTCAGAACGGCAGAATGGCAGGGATCGCCCACAGCCTCAACTTGGCCCTTCAGCCCCAGAATTCGCTCAGGCTTTGGCGAATGCTCGAGGCTCGGTGCAGGGTTGACGGGCACATTTTCCGTGGGGGGAGGGCCCTGGCGGTGTTAGTATTTCGCAGGCAAAGGCCAAAGCTTTGGTAGCAAATCTGGAAGCCGTTGATGCTTTCGATTTCCATGCAATCGACATTCACTTCCCCAGGGATGTTTCGGAAAGCTTCATCCATCAACCCTTCACAGGCAATTCCGTTCACCAAGCAGCACTGCCAAAACAGACTGCCGCGGGCAGCAAGTGCAGACTCTTGAGCGGAGGCCTCTTGGATTGGAAGGCCTGCATGGAGAAACGAGCTTGTGATTCGGTAAGCCTTGGAGATCTGAAGCATTGACAGGACTCCGAGGCTGGGTTTGGAGTCTAAAAGGTTCACGTTGCCACAGGGTTTGGAAATCAAAGAACAACCCCAACCCGTCCACTTCTGCAAAGACAGCAATTGATTCGGATGCCAGCATCCAGGCCAGACATAATTTCTCAGCTGCTCGAGTACACGGCGTTAGATGGGAATTACTTCCTCTGAACAGAGAAGCAAGACAATGCTCTCCACTGCGCCCGAAACTCATGTGCCCTGCGTGCTGTCATCATCGCCCATTCAATAAGTCGGCTTGGTTGTTCAGCCGCGAGTGTGTTGCTGCTGAAGCAGCTTCCAGATTCAGCATGTAGGCTTGTGGGGCTTAGGGTTTCGGGTGGGACACATTATTTGTGTATGCTGGTTATGACAAGACCTACAGTAGAGAGGCATGGTACTTGGGCATCGTGAGCCTGCTGATTGCAACGCCCGTGTATGCCTTCATGTTCTTCTCCCCGGAGCTTATCCACACGATCCTGGGTGCGTCTGCATCTCCGTGGATGGTGGACATGCTGAATGGAATCTTGCCTGAAATCAAGCCCACCATCCATTAATTGCCAGATCTGAATCAGTTGAGCCCTGAAGAACGCGACAGGATCTGAAGCGAGCGCAAGAAACATAGCAAGAACGAGACCAAGGCCCAAAACCTTCAACCGTCTGTATCTTGACGTTCATAAGAAAGCTTTAGCCTTTAGCTTGCTCAAGACCAGCCTGGGACTATCTAGAATTGTGGAGGAACTTTGTCACAGTCTAGGTTGTTACGGAGGTTGAGAGCTGTTCTTTTCGGCAGGGCGTCTTTTTCTGCAAGAAGAGATGATGGCACTGCGAGTGATGATGATGCCTCGTGCGCGGTTGGTGACAGTTGGATGTCATGAGTAAAAGTTCTTGAGTTTTGCAGAAGCATGTAACTAGGGAGTAAGCAATCAAAGACTACATCGTAGGCAGGCAGATGTGGAGTGTTGAATGGCTACACGATGTGTTGGATAGCCGTCCTGTGGATGTTCCTGACTGGAGGTGCTGAAGTTCTGTAACTCCAGATTTTGCATTCAAACAAGTAGGTTGGTT